CCCCTTGTATTTCCTGCTTGTGTGTTTTATTTTCTGTTAGGAGCAGCACTGTATAGAATACATAACACACACATGCATCTGTACTGTCTTTCAGTCGTCGTATTTGCATTGATTGTGTGTGCGTTATGTTTGGCATACATGTATTCTCTGTAGGGTAAAATCGTCGAGCATCTTGGTGAAACAGGGTTATTGGTTACCTGTGATTTAATCTTGGTGGGAGCCCTTCTATACTTTAAGTGTTAGGAGAAATTTTTTATTACACTCTGTACATTGCATGTCTGCCTGGTACTCATCTTACTTTGAAAATTAAATGACATCATAATGTTTTTTACTTTAAATAAGTAAAAAATACTAGATACTAAAAGCATTGGCCAGTACTAGTAAAAGAAGGATGGTTTGGTTTTTTTACCCATATTTTTATTATTATATGGAAAGGAGAATATGTACTGAGAGCATTAAGTTATATACATCTGATTGCTGAATTTTTTTACGAAAAGGCATTTACATTATGTCAACTTTGCAAAAAACGATTACTTACAAAACAAATGTCTTGCCATCACTTCTTCAGTTGGGTGTGTTTAATAATTTGAGGAAACTAGTGGTATCCCCTGTTAAGGAAAAAAAGTGCATTCTTACCTTTATTTGTATACTATATATTTGATATCCTGAACTTTGCAATTTGTATTTCTAGACAATACGTCACTATTTAGATCCTCTCTGGCATCAGCTTGGAGCTAAGACAAAGTCTTTGGTCCAGGATTTGAAGATACTACGTACCTTGCTGCTTTATCTAACGCAGTATGACTGTGTCACTTTCCTTAATCTTCTGGAGTCACTGAGAGCAAGTGAAAAAGCATTTGGTGAGAATTCAGGTAAACACTGAATAACTATACAAGTTAATGCATGAAACAGTGAAATGTTGATATTTTTAATTAACATTCCCATCCATAAGAAGGTATCTAATTAGGTTTTATATAACCAGCCATAAGGACGTGGGTTTTTATTGACAGATAATGCTTTCATCTTCCCACTTAACTGCTGTTACTTAACAGCGTGAGACTTGCATCACATTACTAGCTTAATAGAAGACAGAAATTACACAGTAAGCACGTAGCACAGGTATTCCAGATTAGAAATTTGGGGCTTTGACTGGAAAGGGTTGAAATACATACACATTGCAAATGTCAAACTACTGCTGCTGCTTTCTTTTCCTCTTCAGGCTGGCTGTTTCTTGACTCCAGTACTTCGATGTTTTTAAATGCTCGAGCTAGAGTTTATCGCACTGCAGATGAGAAACTGAATCGGAAAGGCAAAGCCTCTGAAAAAAGTGATGTAAAGAAGGAAAATGGTACTGATCATTCCTAATTTTAAATTTGTGAGTGTCACACGATTTCAAATGCTCTGCATATTATTACTTGTGCTATGGTTCCCTGCGTGGTCTTACACAGCTCAAGATCTCAGTCTGTTAGCTGGGATAAGTTGAGACATAATCTTAAATCAAAAAGCATATACTAAACAACATAAAACAGAGTCACGAAGAAGTAAGGGGTTCTACGCTTGCTCATCACTGGGAAAGCTTTTATGGAATTGTTCTTGGATTGCACTGGTGTTTAGCTTGTTCTTTGGGGGTTTTTTTATGTGAAGGGGTAGGAGGCTGCTGTTGCTTTTATTTAAAAAAAAAAAAACCTGGAGTTTCAGAACTAAAAAAAGAGTGAATATTAACTTTTTGCCTCACTAAAGCCCTTACCCATGTTTTGAAAGGTTTCTGTAGGAGTGCCCTACAACCCATTAGCATAACAAGTTACATGTGAAGGCTGTCGAGTATCATATTTGCCAAGAACCATCATGCTATTGACATCTAATGACTAACTTAAAGCTCTGAAGGGTATTTTGGCTGTAGGAGCTGCTGTGTTCAATCTTACTTTGTTTCAGAACTGAAAAGAGAATTGGTTCTAGAAAGTAACCCCAAGTGGGAAGCTTTGAGAGAAGTACTGAAAGAGATTGAAAATGAGAATAAGAACAGTGAAGACCTTGGCGGTCCAGGTAAGAGAACACTAAATGGTCTAAGTTTTCACAGTACAGCTAGTTTTCACTTCTGTTGACTTTTGAGAGAAGGAACCTAACTCTTTACGATGGCTTCATTAAAGACCTAGTTTTAAATGTACTAGTTTATGGACTTAAGACAAGGAGTTTATGTACACATATCTGTATGACGACAACAAACTACATCGTTTTACATAAACTCCTATTTAGTTCTTTCTCTAAAAGACAAATGCTTTTGGTCACTATGCAGTACTGCATAGCGACCAAAGAAAGAACATGGATTACTACCACAAAAAAACCTATTTTGATTGACTTCTAATATTGTACTGATACCTTAGTCTCAAAACCAATAAAACTAATAACGTGGAAATTTATAATACTCAAGGCACCATTCACTCGTTTTTCAAGTTCCCGTTCAAAACAAACGGGTTATTTCTTATGCCCTTTCCATCTTAGATGTTCTTCTCCTGCACCTGAGAATTTGCTTCTCCAGGAGATGCACCTAACTGGGGCAGAGAGTAGAAGGCACGTGTTCCTGACTAACTGCTTTGCTGCCTTTTCTATTTTAGGGCTTTGCATCCCTTTAAATTTCACCAAGTTTTATTTTAGGAAATAGTAAGGGTAAAAAAGTGCTGTTTTCTCCCACCCACGGTGTTCTGACTCTGGATAAGAACTGGCTCTCTCACCTAGAGTTGTAGGAGTTTATCTGAGTCAGCTTGTGGAGAACTGTTATTCAGGGCCCACAAATGTCAATAATACTGTGTGAAACATTTTTTTAGACTCTTTAACACAGCTGACAAAGGCTGAACGTTAGAATGATGTAAATTAAGTTCTCTGTTGTTCCACATATTTAAAAAAATAGGTGGTCCAAGTGTTTCAACACGTGCTGTATTTGCCTTAAAACCTCACTAGTTTAGATGGTATAAGAATAATGAATGCTGAACTTTCTTTAAGCTTCTCTAATCTAGTTTGGTACAAAAGTTCATCCAGTTCAGATGACCTGAAGGTCCAGAGCAACTGTGCCAGCCAGACGTTGAGGCAGGCATGCTTCTGGAATCGTTGAGAGCAGTGTGCTCAAGAGATGTCTCGTAGCTGGATAAGCACCAGCACAGCGTAACAGCTTATAAACGTGCTATTGTTTCTCGGCTGCAGGGCAAGTGCTTATCTGTGCCAGTGATGACCGAGCTTGTGCCCAGCTCAGGGAGTATATTATTGCTGGAGCAGAAGCTTTTTTAACAAGACTCTATACCAAAACCTTCGGAAAGGATGAGAAAGCTGCGGAAGTGTGGAATAAGGACAGAAAAGCCATCAAGTCCAAAGGAAATGCCAGAGCAGACACGGGGCCTCAAGCCAAAAAAGCCAAACTCACGGCTTCTTCAAAACAAAATAAGCACAAGAAGCAGCAAGACCGGACTATAATCCAAATGATGGGGAAGACGGTGGAGGAAAAGAGTGAGGAGTTAGAGGTGGAAGATAACAAAGAATTAGGCAGTAGCCAAGAAAGCAGTGGTGAAGAGACCATCCCTGAAGATTTCCACATGAATTTACCCTCAGACTGTTACTACGGTGTTTTCAAGAACCCGCTGACAATTATTCATCCGTTGCAGGGTTGCAATGATCCCTACGCGCTCACTCGGGTACTGCATGAAGTAGAACCAAGATACGTTGTGTTATATGATGCGGAACTCACTTTTGTTCGGCAGCTGGAAATCTACAAGGCAAGCAGGCCTGGGAAGCCTTTGAGGCAAGTTGACTTGGTCGGTGTGATTTTAGTCTTGAAAGAAAAAATAGAAGTGCACTCTCAGCTATCAGGGCAGAACATGCATCTAGTGGTTTTCTCTACCTACCTTCTAATTCCTGTTTAGCCCTCTTGTTAATTTTAAACCAAAGCATAATGTCTGATTTAATCAAAATCATTTTTGCTTCCCAGCACATGTTTAGTCCCCTAACAGAAACATACCTGTAAAAAAAGGCTCCATCCTCAAGACCTCTGCATAATGATCCTAGTGGCGATAGATCCATTCTGAGATGCTGCGCTCTCATTTTAAACTGTCTCCGTAGGTGCGATTTTTAAACAATAAGCTTCGTTTTGGATTTAATTTCCACATTGACTGTTCATGCTGAAGACCAGTAATTCAGAAACTGTAACAGGAAAAAAACAAATGAAGGAAAGAGATACTTCTCATTATTTTAAGTATAGAGGTTACACTTGGTTCTGGTGTTAGCCAATGGAAGGCTTCCACTTTGTGGATATATGCTTGATACGCTTGCAAATTGCAAAACTCACTTTTATGTGTGCATGCAACAGACTAGTTAAAAATATAGAAAACTTGAATTTTAATGTACTGTGAGGTTTTGTATTATCTTTGTTTCTAGGGCTGCCCAATACAGCGTTTCTTGAATGCAGTAAACTGTAGTTACACCTGCACTGCTCTGCAAATAACTTATGGCAGGTTCTTAAGTCTTAGAATAAACACACTTTACTTACTACAGTTGAAACACAATTTATTGGCACGTTAAAATTATTACCTATTGAATTATAATGCTTTATACTTTATTCACCTCATGAAGATTATTAAACTTTAACAGAGCAGTTGTAACTTTCCAGTCAAAGATTTGGCCACGTGCACTGTAACTGAAAATGGAAATCGGTGGGGCAGCAGTGTGATGCTCCAGGCAGGTCCCTAGTGTGGGTACAAATGACCCAACTCACAAAGTACTGCGTGAGGATAATTGCTGCCTCATCAGCATGTCTTCTGTCTGCCTCCAGCATCACGTCCCCACGCTTCAGAGCAGCCACATCAGATGCAGTCGTGCAAGTAGGGGTTAGGAGACGCACCGGATGAAAAAAGTAAAAGCAGAAAAATCCTAACAGTCCGTCAAAATGCACCTCAATTAAACTGTATTGGGAAAAAAATGACTGTGCTGAAAAGCTATAGGCAATTAATTCCTTAAGGTAATTATTCTTATATGTTCCATATAAACCCCTATTTGCAGAATAAAACTTAATTTGTTGGTTTCTGCAAGATAAATGACAGCTTGTTCTTTGTAGAACCTATGAACCTACGATTTCCTTGTACAAAGAGATAATTAGAAAATCTTAGATGGTGTGTTTTCCTAACCCAGGATGGTTGCAGCTTTTTTATAGTTTGTTGTATATGTATGTTCTACTGGGAAGATTTTGGAGTCAGTAAGAAAGTAACTTCTCCGTTATACTTGCTTTGTGTCTTGACTGAATGGCTGACTTGGTCTGAGTCTGCTGTGCTTGAATCCCAGAGTTCAAGAAAAAGCCATCTGTCCCTAGGAAAAGAGGGAACCCTGCATATAAGAACATTTGTTGCTGATTTTGGTGTATCTTTACAGAATATATCTGTACAGAAAAAGACAGTGTGTTTTCAATTGCCTTTTATTTTTTTTAAGGCATATCCTACCTTGTCGGGCACATACTCATCTTAAATACTGCTTGTGCGTGCTTTTTCACTTCACACAGAGTTTTGTGATCTCTCTTCTCCTCCCCCCCTCCAAACCTACAGGGTTTATTTCATCATATACGGGGGCTCCACCGAAGAACAGCGCTACCTCACAGCTCTGAGAAAAGAGAAGGAGGCCTTTGAAAAACTCATTCGGTAACAGAAGTCGTTCGCTACCTTTATTAGTGTTTTGTGTCATCCCCCTATATGCTTACATTTTAAAGAGAGTGAAGTTCTTAACTGCATGAAGGCTTTAAATAAACTTTTAATTCAATTGCTGTTCAGATGTTAAGAGAATTTTCACACTGAGAATCAATGACAAGTTAAAACCTTCCTTTTCAAAGCACCTGATATTGTATTAATTCATTTTAGAGGTTTTAATATTAAATTTCAAAGGCTAAACAGCACCGCTTGTATTTTTCCCTATTGTCTATCAATTTCATTTCTGTAAAGGTGTTTTTGTCTGCAGGTAACATTTCTTGTAAGGCATTTCTAAGGCTTTTATGAATTAAGTAATTTTGGAGAACAAAACAATAGTTTTCTTAGGCTGTATAAGACTATTTTTACTAACAGTGTCTTTTCGCTAGGTTATACTGCTATTACTAGTCATTAGTTCCTTTGTTTCATATGCCCTCAGACATTCTAAACATGTAAAAATCTGGTGCAAACAATTGAAATTAAAACCACAACATCTAGCCCAACAATCTGGAAAACCTATTCAACTGCATTTCTGATCAGGTTTGCAGTTAGTATTAAACTGTATATAATTTTCTGTCTGACTGAAGGGTATTAAAGCATTTTGATCTATTTTTTTTTTCCCCTGATATAATTGCAGTTGTGTGTGTCTGTTTGGTTCCTTAGAGAGAAGGCCGGCATGGTTATTCCTGAAGAAAGAGAAGGAAGAGATGAAACAAACTTAGACCTACTAAGAGATGCTACACCTGCCTCAGTTTCTACTGACACACGCAAAGCAGGTGAGCGGTTCCTGAGGGTGGGCGCGTGGCTTTAAGCTTTGAAAAAGACCTGTAACACTTGTGTTCAAATCCCGTCCAAAGCATCTGGGTCGGTCACATTGTGCCTTGACTCTGCGCTCCTGATGGTACAGAGCGTTACCGGCCTTACTCCACCTACCCTGTCTGTGCGATGGTGTGTTTTACTTTGAAAAGAAAATGCAGGTTAATTAAGTATTTTACTGTTAAGATGGGTTGTTTCTGGGCAGCTTGTTGGTTATGAGACTGTCTAGTATTGCTTGTACTGAGGTGGAGAGAAATCACAAGCTGAAGTCTACAGACAGTCAAAGGCAGCGTTGTCCTTGAGCTGGTAGATGTTGGGGACTTCCTTTGGTCTTGCCAAAACAGATTGCCGGGGTGAACAGCTGCAGACTGTGTGTCTTGTCTACTTTCTTTGCAATAACGCATCTTTTTTCCCTTGTTGCAGTTCTAACCACGCTTTTGCTCCTTTCTTTTGACATGTTTGCTCTGTCTTTATCTTTACAGCTCTGCCCCTGTTTTGTTTTGCTGTCATTTTTTAATCCTGCTCTCCAATCTTTGCTGTTATGTCTTTTGTGGCCTTGATGCTGCAGTCTCTTCAAGTGTCCTTCTACAGATCTCTAAGAGGCTAAAATACAGCCCCCACAATAAAATGCTATATGCCTATGGGAAGCAGATGGAAATAAAAAGGATCAGCTTTGTTATCTTGTTTTGTGGGCAACTTTGAAAATACTTTCCTGGTGCATTTAATTAGTGTTCGTCTACAGTTCAGTGTGTTTCACTGTCACACACACATGGGTTATAGCAGGTAGTGTGAGTGTTCTGTTAGACCGCAGAACATACTCCATAAACTACAGTATATAATTTGGCACCTGACTGTTGGCTGTACCAGTGGAGAATTAAATCAAGCCTGGGTTTGCTGCACTGCTGAACTTGTGACGATCTGAGGGATGTGAAGTCCATCCAGTGCGGAAGCATGGGCAGCACACAGGCAAACTAGACAACCAGAGTTGGAGGCCGTAAGGATGATGTTAACTCTGTCTGTTGCTCCTTAGGTGGACAGGAACAGAAGAGCGTTCAGCAAACCGTAATAGTGGATATGCGGGAATTTCGTAGTGAGCTTCCGTCACTGATTCATCGTCGTGGCATTGACATTGAGCCTGTGACCTTGGAAGTTGGAGATTACATTTTAACTCCTGATATCTGTGTAGAGCGGAAGAGTATCAGCGATCTGATTGGCTCCTTAAATAACGGAAGACTCTATGCACAGTGCATTTCTATGTCCCGTTACTACAAGCGACCAATTCTCCTGATCGAATTTGATCCTACTAAGTCTTTCTCCTTGATTCCACAAGGGTCTCTGCATCCAGAAATATCCAGTAATGATATTACTTCTAAGCTAACCCTTCTTACGCTCCATTTCCCAAAGTTACGTATCCTGTGGTGTCCCTCTCCCCATGCTACTGCTGAACTGTTTGAAGAGTTAAAACAAAACCATCCCCAGCCTGACGCAGAAACAGCAATGGCTGTCACAGCCGATTCTGAAGTTCTTCCTGAGTCAGACAAGTACAACCCTGGTCCTCAGGACTTTCTGTTAAAAATGCCAGGTATTAATGCAAAAAACTGCCGTGCCTTAATGAACCACGTGAAAAGCATTGCAGAACTAGCGACACTGTCAAAGGACGAACTCTCCAAAATTTTAGGTAATGCTGCCAACGCCACGCAACTCTTTGACTTTATTCATCTGACCTACGAAGAGGCAATATCTAAAGGAAAAAGCAAAAGATGACTGTTGAGGTGACGTAGGGCATAGGTGAGCTTTTCTGGGCCAAGTACATTAAATAATTTAATAACTGCCCTCTAAGACAAGCAGCTGGTTCTTGGTAATGCTGTCCCTTCAGTTTTAACGCTCGTGTTAATTATTACTGAAGGCAAGTTTCAAGAGGAATAAAAAATGTTTTTAATAGAGAAATGCAAATTATTTTTATTCTTCCTACAGCACTTTAACCAAATTTATATTACTGAATGAACTAAATTAAAGTCTTCAAGTTCATAAGAATTAGGTGCTAAGACTCATTGATAAAGGTGTTTTCTTTTGAAAAGTATGGTAATTTGTTAAAGTTAAAAAAGTACTAAGTGTTGATTGATATGTGTGACCTGGTGCATGATATATCGCTTTGCTTTTGCCATTGTTACTAACGCCTCCCCCTCTGGAAACGGCCAGTTTTCCATTGACAGCGATGGAGCTATTTGAAACACCCCATGGTCTTTTGTCAGGACTTTGTTTAGGAGAACATACTTGGACTTAATCATGAATTTTAGAACATCACCATAAGCCTTTGTCACAGTAAACGTGACTGGATGGGATGTTCTACATTACATTTGTGTACTAGGAGTTACACTCCCGTGCCATTCCGAAGGCAGTACAGCTCTGTTGCTCACTTTTGCAGAGTGCATTCCTCTGGTCTAGACTGGGTAGAGTCTGGTGGCACAACACAACTGAATCCTCACCGTGCCTTGCTTATGCTTTTAACATGCCTTTTTTATTTTTAATTGGTTTTGATAGCTCTTTCACCTCATTCACTTGAAAGTGGAAAATCTAGGTATCCCGCTGGGACTATTCTTTTACACCAGAGGGTATTTCCTCTCATAACATGCAGTAGTTTTCTAAGTAAGGTTTTCCCAAAGTGTGATAGTTCTCCCAATGCTGTCTTCTTTCTGTGTCCTATCAGACTTTAATGTCTTAAATAGACCATCTGTCAATGAATTCAGTAAAGCTGTTGTCACCTGGGAGATCAAACTCTTTGCATTCTGTGTAGCATAAAACGAGGAAAAGTTACTGTTTTTGACAGTGTTTGAATGTGCGTATTGTTAAAAGCATATATTCTGCACTGAACCTTGATAGGACAACTACGTACCAAACTGCCGTTACCCGAAGGGTTGGTCCTGTGTCATCACATGCTGATGTGGTCACATTAGCTACTTACACTATCTTTGTGTGTAATGACTTGCACGTATGTATTTATACGATTCTAAAGCCAGCGACAGGCCGGTATCATCTCCCTCATTACAGGAGAAAGTACCGATCTTCTGTGGTTAGGTTCAGTGAAAGCTGTACTGTGCACTTTCAGGTTTAATGTTTGCTGTGCTTTTTAAGTATGAATTTACGACTTTGTGAACTTCTAGTCTAGGGCTAAGCTGTGACAGACTTGCAAAGTGAACATTCTTCTGCAGACGCAGATTTCTGTATTAAATACGTCCCTAACAAGATAAAGAATTGTTAATTATCTTGGTCCCACTTAGCTGCATTGATATTAGATATTAGAACATTCTTATTTTTAGTGTGTGGTTTATAACCTACCTCTTAGTGTTTCTGTCGCCCTGTAATCGATTTCATTTAATATTAAAAGAAGCCTTGCCACGAGGCTTCAGCTTACGCAAAAATGTTCAGGGTTGAGGGTGCTGTAAACTGGTGCTAAGAGAACTGAAATCAGCCTGGGACCAAACTGCCCTGAATGCATGGCCTGTAGTGCCTGATTCAGTCAGGGCCAGCTGAGCGACCTTTGAAAACGTGCGTTGTCCGTGCGTCTGCATCGTTAAGATGCTCAACGAGCTGTGGTGGTGTGGGTTGCGTGGGTTTTTAAGATGTACTGCACCTCGGCTTTCTCAGTGGGTTTGGGGTTTTTTTGCTCAGATGAAAAGGAAGGGTATGTGAAGGGGTTATAAGGTTGTAGCAAAGTCACATCATGCAATTAAATAATTAATACTTGCTAAATGTTTAGATTAAATTGTCTTGTTTGTATATGTGGAATTTTTGTAAGGGGTGGCTTTTACTTTTGTTTTGTTGTTCAGTCCAGGATTTGGCTTTTTCTTTAAAATAACCACAAATAATATTGTCAAATGTTGGTTTTGCTTATTTGTGATTTGGTGTTTTACTGGATTGGATTTGGTTGCAGGTTAGTGGTGTGTCCTGAGGCAGTAGGTGCAAATCGTGAGCAGAGGCGGAAGAGGTCCTGTCTCCCGAAATCACTTAACCCTGAGGTGCCCAAGCCAGAGTCCGTCTGCCTGTATTTAGGTGCAGCAGGACCATGGTACCTGACGGGGAGCCTTGGGATGCAGTCTGGCCTTGCGGTGTTCTCTTCGCGGCAGTTGACAAAAGCAGGGTAGTTTTGTGTCTCTCATCACGGCGTCATGCTTTAAGGTTGTGCTTTTTTTATTTAAAGCAAACAAACTGCCTCCAGTTTGGGAGGGTCTTGGATTCTTTCTTGCACCCAAACCAAGACAATAGGTTTCAAGGTCGCTGACTATGCCAGACCAGTGGGGTTTATAGGCTACTGGGGAGTAAGTCAGCAAGTTGCTTGTTTCTTCTAGAATAACAACAGAACCAAAATCTCTTGGGAACAAACGCAGCTTATTTTAGCCAATACATTTTGCACAGGGTGGATTATGCTATAGTTACCTGGATGCTGTTCCTGCTAGTGGCGACACTTGCACTCTCCACCTACAGCTGCGAGGAGACAACGTGCTTGCCATGTTGTGTGTGAGAAGTTCCCCTACCACAACAGACGTTCCCCTCGGAACTGTCCATCTGCATGAACATGTCCAGCGGGGTTTTCTAGCGCCAGCTCAGGTGACCGCTTTCACGTTCATGCTTGCAAAACTCCAGTGTAGCCAGGCGATGGAATCCACACCGCTTACAAAGCACACAGCTGTACCGTAAAGGAAGTTGACCTTTTTAAAAAGTACAAAAGTTTGCATGTGAGGATCTTTGCGATGGTGAGGCTTTCTCGTTTGCAGGGCAATCGTACAACCACAAATAACTTAATCTTCAAAAATAAAAAATTTGTCTCCTAAACCTTTCCTTAGTCTTCCAGAATTCCAGTTTGATGACTGGAGAACAGAATCCAAAAGCAAACAGCTGCCAAAAACCAGTTCTTAACTGAATACGTTATTTACGTGCCAAAAAGCGTAAGGAAATGTAAGGAAACTTGGCCAGCGCAGGCTTACCAAGTGACGATTTGTACTGCAGCCTCCATCAGCTGGGTGCTGTCGAGTGTACAGCCCTTTCAAAAGGATGAAGTTCTCCTTAGCTGCTCCTCAAAGACAGCCAAAATTAACTTAATATTGAATTGATCTGGTTTCCACAATATGTGCTTTTACGAAACACGCCTAGGGTCATAAACCAGAAAGTTCAGAAACCACGCTCCAGGATTTTGTGATACTTGAACTTCTTTCACGGTTCAATCCTTCCTGATGTAATTTTGGATATTTGCAGAATCAGCTCAAACTCAGCATAAACCCTTTTATGGTTTCCATGAGAACTTCTTAATATCTACTTAACTGTGAGCTGCCTTCTTGCGTCAAAAATACACTCACTAGCAATATATGCATTACTTCTTCTCAATTTGCAATTGCATACTTTTCTCCCAGAGTTTTCCATGTTTTTCTATAGTCATCCTTTCTGAAACTTCCTCTCTTGATTAATATCCCTAATATCCTGTTCCACAGTCGGCTAGCAACCTAGCCAAGAACAAGGCATACTTGATACATCATCCATAATATTTCTTGGGTTTGTTTATTTACAATTTCCAGTTCATTCTCAGTTACACTTCAAACCATCTCCAAGATGAGGGGGAAGAGCTAAACACCAGGAATCTTTCTGACACTGATCAGTTAAAAATTACTTAACTGTGCTGACAGCAAGTTTGGTGAGGCTAGTAATGTGGCATTGTTTGGGGTATCTCTGGCAATCTGGAGTTGCTTGTGTCTGTTCCTTCTTAAATCAAGATTCAAGTTCTAAAATATATAAATTTGAAAGGTTGCGTGATCCATGTGGAACAGAATAACAGCGAAGACTAAGTATTTGGTAACAGAGTACCTTTAAGCCTTCCTGACCCCGGCCAGCCACTGAAGACTGGAGTCACTGTGCCATTTGACCCAGAACATAGCTGAGTGGTAATTCCGAGTCCCTTCCCTCTCTTTGGCTTCACCTGATGAAACGCTGACACTGGAAACTGTTCATTTCTTAGCTTCAGCTTTTCTTAAGACGCATCCAGGCAACAGTATCACAATACCCGAATAGGGGCACTTGGCGCTTCTCCCCACTAACGTGGCGGTAACAGATGTGTAGGGCGGTAGGTAATTAGATATAAGCAGGCTCAGAAAAACTGATCCTAAGTAAGAGGGAACTAAGAGGCTCCTGTAGAAAACAAACTCTTTAGAACTATTATCTTCCCTTGTATTGTATTCTTGACATCTGCCAGTAGGTTGGGGGGAGGATTTACTCCGTTGTTAGATGTGGGAAGCCTCGGCTGGTCTGAGGGATCGGAATGCAAGCTTAACATTGACCTTGAGCAGATAACCGGGTACCCTTCAGGAGTCAGGAAAGTCCCGAGAAGAGCTGAGTAAACAAGATCAAGGAACTGCCTCTACAAGTAGTTTATCGAAGATGTAACAAAGAAGAGGTCATCCGATCGTGAACTGTTGGTCTGCGAGTGAACCAATCATGTATGGACACACATTCTTAAGAAAGATATAAAAAGGGCTTGTGTAAACAATAAAGGGTCTTTTTGGCTTTTGTGCACAATTCTGTGTGTGTCATGTCCGTCCCAACAGCGACAGTTAGAGGCCAGAGAGAGAATGTACGTGACTGACTCTGTTGGTAAGGTTGTACAAGGGAACATTAAAACGTTTTAAAGTGTCAGTGCCATTTTTTGAGTGCAAAATGTTCATCTCCCAGACTTTTCCGTACAAATAGGCTGGCCATTTTTTACTTGAGTTTTGATCTGT